TTGAACCCCACCATGGTGAACCTCGAGACCAAACCACGGAAAAGCTCCCCCTGTCCTCTTCACGCCTCTCCCAGACACTCCTCAAATCATGACAACTTCATCGTCAATTTCAGGGGACTAAATTGAAACGAGGGGACTCCCCCCATCCCTTGAAAAATAAAACAGGTTGGGGGAGGTCCTGAGAATGACCTCATTGATACCTGTGCCGCACTAGGTCCGGTTCCCAGGGGGCTGCCTAGGTAGGAAACATTTTTCTCACTCCAAGTCCCATAAAATCATGACCAAACCAACACCTGTTGTGTGCCAGAGGCAGGGTGCACTTTAAAAGCTGGCGTCAGGGGAATGCACAGAGAAAAACCAGACCTGCAGAGGCAGCCAGGAGCCAATCTGGTCAAGAGATTTCTCCACTAGGCAAAACAGCAGGCAAAAGATGAGCTTCCTGGTGAACAGGAGCTGCCTTCCCAACCAGGCTTGGGAAATGCCTCAGCCCACGCTGGCTGGGATGGCTAAGAATAATCCATTAGAGAAACAAAGAGTACTGTCCAGTTGTCCTGCCCGCCAAGCCCTGCACCTCTCCTCTCCCTCCCTCCCTGCTCCGGACAGAACACCAGCCCTGGAGAAGTCGGTGCAGGAACATTATACATGGGATACAAAAACCAAAGCCCTTCGTGAAATCAAACGTTCCTTAGGACGTTTATTTTTAGGTTGGCGGCACCATCCAAATCTGCTTAATTTCCATTAACCACATGGTCACATGCACACTGAAATAAACTATCAACGTCCCGTCCCAGGGAGGAGGGGGAAGAAAAAACAACCGTCATGCATAAGATACCCCAAATTTGGCCAAGTATGCCCGTTTCAGGAACCCGCCTCATCTCATGGGGCTGCTGCCGTTCCAGCTTTTGGCACCTCTAACTTTAATTCATCCAAGTACCAGACAAGAGAAATAGTTTTAAAAATCAGTTGAAGACGGTTTCTTGGATAGTGCCCGTATCACTAAAAGGTCTGCAGACGCGGGTAACAAGCCATCCTTCAGAAGACAGACAGGCCCACATGCGAGTTTACTGGGCTTCCTGGCTGCTCTCATAAGCTCCGTGTTTGATCACCTGGTGGGTTTTTCTACCACCAAGTTAAAAAAAAAAAAAAAAATCCCCTGCCAACAGTAAAAGTATATACCAAACCTCAGGCACAAAGTTCACCTGTCAAATTATTTAAGAGATGCCTTTCTTGGACTTATTTTCTTTACAAAACAAACCCCTACCTGTTTGGGGCTTTTATGTGCACTGAATTCAAAAACATACTTAAAAAGAAAAAAAAAAAAAAAAGACCAATACTGCTGTCTTAGCACAAATGGCATTTACTATGACTCGAATCTATGAAAGGACTGTGACATCTAACAGGATGAGAAAGGAAAGGAAAAAGCCCTTAGCAAAAAAAAAAAAAAAAAAATTAAACAAAAATACCACCTGTGCAAATGCAGCAATGCTCTGAAAACCCTCTCTCAGGCACAGAGAGACAGCTCACACTCAGTGCCTTGAAGTTGCAATTAAATTGTAGTAATTTAAGATTATCGGGAGAGCAAAGGCCAGGGGGAGCTCTTTGGAAGGCTTCCCTCCCCACTTAATGCTTTTCGGCCAGGGGGTTAAATGAGTTTCTTTAATGTAAGTACCTTAAAGTAACTGAATCATAAACAAAATTTATACTATTTTCTGACAGCCTGCAATCTATTTAAATTTTATTAACGTGTCCTTAAAATTATTTTTAAAAGACAAAACTCTTGCTAGACTCTGTAAATATTCTTGGCATACCCAAGGATGGGCCCTCCAAGCCTAACCTTCCCTGAGCACGCATACTTTTTGGTGACTCGGAATCTTACCAGATAATGTTTCAAAACCAAGCCTGAATCTTAACTAAAACATGGAGACAAAATAAATACGCACACTGAGGCTAGCTGCAAAGAGGAAGCCGGCACAAATCAAATAGCCCCCTCTACTAGATTCTCCCTTCTCTCAATTTTGGCATTGACCTTGATGTGGTATAAATACATGTGTTTGGGGAAAAATATCCCAATCCTTTCTCTGTTAGTTTAAACAACTGGTGAAAACACAATACCTGTCAACAGAGCCTTAGAATGCAAATTGACAAGGTCAGGGGTATGGTTTTCAGAGAAGCAAAGAAAAACTTGGTAACAGAAAAGAAAAAAAAAAAAAAACATGCCTGGGCTCAATATTAACTCAGTTAACTTCTGCTATTGTTGGTACAAATGATTTAACCAGAAAATATTTATAGCTTTCTAAAAACATTACATATTGCAGAAAATTGCCTAACAGCATCCATGTGTATGTTTAACTCCATTGCTTAATTATACAATAAAGGTATAGCCAATAAAACCTGCAGGCTTTGAAACATATTGTGCACAATGGTTATGAAACTCTGGCTTATAAAAAAAAAAGTGCTTACTATGTGATCGACACTTGTTAATTAAAAATACAAGGCTTAAATGACAATTATTTTTATTCTTCCGTATGTGTTTACTTGTTCTATTTTCTACTTTGTTCTACTTAATTAAAAATGACATTTAATTTGGGGATAGTTTATAGCTGGGGGAAAAAAAAGTGTTATACAGTTTATACTCTAGGATTTAAATATAAACAGAAAATCTTACACACATCTCCAGCTATGTAAACCCCTTAATTTGAGACAGTGAATTTGAATAGTGGATGTTTCTTTCATTATACTTTGATAAACCTGTGAAAACAAAAACGCTCAAGTAATTACTGTTACTACTTTCCTTAAAAATGTAAAGCAGTAAAATTTTCCTAGACAAGAGGCATGGTCAAGTTACAAAAAAAAAAAAAACTTGAATAGAAGTAGCATCATGGTCATGCTGAATGTCAATCTAAAAAAAAGGGGAGGTTATGTCTAACCTGGAGAATGCTCTCTCCCCTTTTTAAATTCCAAGAGTGGGCTGACACTAAACTTTACCACCAAGGATTTTTTTTTTTCTTTTCTTTATTTTTTCCTTTTTGTTTTTTTTTAGCTTCACATCGGATTTAAACCTTCACATACAAAACCCTAGCTTCCCTGATGAGGCAGATCTTCTAAGCTGGATGTGAGAAAATGTTATCTAACTCTAGTGTAGGAGTCTAATGTTGGTAAAAAGCATTCCACTGTACAGTTCTGGGTAGCAAGGCAGCCTCCGGATGACTTAATAGTCTCTGAATACCGTTTTGGGGGGGAATGCTCCTCATACAGAGAGGTGCATTTAAACAAACTAATAATAATAATAATAATAATAATAATAATAATAATAATAATAATAATAACTTGTTGAGCAACTCTGCATCCATAAGAAAGCAACTGCAACCCAGAGAGGGGCTGAGTTATTCCCTTCCAAGTGAGCCTTCCCTTGCACAACAAAGATCAGCATTTGCAATGGTCCATTTCTGCATAAATGAACATATAGCCTTGCTGCTTGGTGGAATAGTCCAAGGCTCTCCACGTCCAGCTCCTGACAACAACCCAGCAGCAGTTCTGTTTGATCTCTCCTGCTTCCTTAATTTGGGTTGTCAAGGTTCAGCAGTTGGAGGCTGTTTACTTTACTTTTCCAAAAAAAAAAAAAAAAAAGTGATTTTTTTTTTTCTCTCTCTCTCCTTTATACAATGACTAATCCAAAGTCTGGAGAGGGGGTGATGCAGCCAGTGGCAAGATGTTAAACCTTTTTTTCCCTTTGCAGTGAGATTCTTAGCTGACACCTTTTGAATGGTAACGAGCTGAGTTGCATTTTATATTTTTAATGCTCTCTAATTATGAGACCTTTCAAACGAAAGACAGAGGGGGGTAAAAATTTTTAAAAAGATTTTTTAAAATCCCAAATTTCTGAAAATATGATCCCAGTATGCTTTTCCTGGACTCAAAGAGGTGGGTATTTCTACTTTGAGAATCAAAATTCCAGAGGAATTCTAAAACAGAAATCAGCAGGAACTTCTGTCTCAATTATGCAGAATAGCCCTGAGTAGACAACACCTGAAGTCTTCCTATTTCTCTTCAAATTCTATTTAAGAAATCTTCCCCCAAATTGATTCTCCATGGAAAAAAATGAGAGAGTGTGTGTGTGGGGGGGGGTGAGAAGGTAAAAATATTGCAGAAATTCTTCCCCATATTTTCAACAGTAGAGAAATTCCTTAAATAACCTTGAGGCTTTCTTAACTCAGCTATTGATTGTACACGTCCTAAACCCTCAAGTCTGCCGACGAGCCAAGGTGAAGTGTGGACGGTCTCCATGCCCAGTCTCCATTCAAAGGGAATCCAGAAGCTCGTGATTAAGGGGCAGTATCAAAATCAGAAACTCTAACTTAGGAAATACCTCCATCTGGACATCAGCGCACCCCCAGCCCCACAGAAGAGCACTGCAGTGCCTCAGAGGCGACCGAATGAAATGTTTATATTAATCTCATTTTTCGGCTCAAGCCTCCCGGAGAAGAGGGCTTGGGGGTGGGGAGGAAGGGAAGACGAAGAAATAAGTTTCATTTTGGGTCTTCTGGTCGAGTAACAAGAAAATAAATTAGGAAGAGAGGGTAGGATGAGCCCAGGCTAAATCAATACACTTTGTAATCAGCCTAGCAAGGGTATTTGGACACAATGACTTGGAAATAATTAATAGTTTGAAGGGGGGAGAGGGGTGAGAAGGAGACCCAGGGATGTCACCATATTTTATCGAAGCACGTTACCCTCCACGCTAAACTTTGATCTCCCGATTTTCGGATTTAGGAAAGAAAGGGGGTAAAAAGGGAGAAAGAAAGTCCTGTATTTCGAAGCACCTACCGGCTGGAGGGTGGGCACATTCCTTGCTCCGGGCGCCTGATCGCTGCGCTCGCACCGCCCTGGCTGGCTCTTTGGACAGGGAAAAGCCCGGGTGCAGCCCGGGATTCTCGGGTGTCCTTAGCCCCGCGCCCCCCGCCCGCGTCTTCGCCCCGGCAGCCGCGGCCGCCCCGACTTACCCGCGGAGTCCGGGGAGGGATGGGAGCGCTGCCTTCACGCCCGCGGAGGCGGCGCCGGCAGCACCATCGTCCCCGGCGCGGCTGCCGCTGCCCTGGGCCCGCTCGCTCGCCGCGCGCTCTCTTCCTCKGGCAAACTTTCGGGGTCTGCGGTCGACAAGAAACCGGGGCGACTCTCTCAGCAAGTCTTTCCCCGTGCAGGTTGGGGGAAATCGAAGGGGACGGGACGGGTGAGTAAGCGGAGGGACCGAGACCAGAGAGGGCAGCGGGCTCGGAGGACCCCGAGAGCGCGTGGAGCCGAGAGGACGCGGCTCCGGGAATCCCAGCGAGGATACCGAGACCGGGAAATCGGCCCGAGCCCCAGTCTCCGCACCTTCCCCAGGATCTCACAAAGTTGCAACAACAAAAAAAGAAGGGGGAGGGACGGGGGGAAGGGGGTGGGATAGGGAGACGATCGCGGGCGCACGGTTTGGAGTTACAACTGTTTATTTAGTCCTTATTCTCTCAGGGGGCGGGAGCTGCGCGGCCATGGGGGACTGCAGGCAGCGATTTCGAAGCAAACACTTGGGAGGGGGCATGCGACTTTGTTTCTGGGCGCGGAGCTCCCCGGCGCCCGTGTGTRTGTCACCGCCAGTCTCCGGGGACCGAGGCGGAGCTCACAACAGGTGGGGAGGGGGRCTCGCCGAGGGCCAAAAAGGAGAAGGAATCAAAGTTTCCGAGCGCGGCGGTGTCTGGGGAAGAGGGGGGCGGGAGGCGGGGGCGAGGGGAGGCGGAGGCAGCAAATGACCGCGACCCCGCGGCAGCTGGCAAACTCCTTGGCTCCTGGCGCCACCGCCACCGCCTTGGTCCCCACCCCAAGCGCACGCCGCCTTGGCTGGTCGGCTCCGGGGAGTCGTCTCTGCGGGACAGGAATGAAGCGCTGGGATCTGGGGAGGAAGGCTGCGCGCAGGCGAGGAATGGAGAGCCATCGGCTGCCGGGACAAGGCTGGAGGGACGCGGCGACACGCGTGCGTCGCAGAACCGACCAGGGCTTTGGAAATCCCCCCACCCCATTCCCTAGGCTGGAGGGGTGGGGGGTGGTGGGGTAAAACCAGAAAGTGTGCGTGGCGAAGGGAGGAGGATCCGGGTACTGCGATTCCTCGCAGCGCACCCTGTTCCCGTGCCCACCCGAGGATCTGGCCACGGCTGTTGCCGGCGCCTCTCGAGGAAGCTGGGGCCGCGGGGAAGGAACGCGCGTGGGGTTGTGTGTCTGGTGGAGGGTGCACGGGTGTGTGTCTGAGTTTTCAAGGATCCGGGGGCTAGCGGGAAAGCGTCCCCACTGCTGGGTTCGGGACAAGGCTCGCGTGGCTCCGGAGATGACCCCAAGCTTGGGGCCCAGGGCGCAGGCGTCCCTAATCAGTCCGCCAGGGCCCTCAGGGCAGCCCAGGGGCACCAAAGGGGCATACACCCGTGGAAAGGGAAGGGGAAAAGTTTGCTTCGAGTCCAAACTTTGAGCTCTAGAGGCACCCGCCGCACGTCCCCTCCCGCCGCTGCCCAGACCCGGGCCCTGCACCCGCCCCGCGCCCCAGTGGCCACCGGACGCCGACGCTGAACGCTGAAAGTTGCGACAGGCGGCCTGGGCTTATTGATTTCTCTAGCCCAGGCGATCGTGGAGAGCGCAGAGAGAGGCGGGAAGGAGCCGAGGAAGGCGATCTCGCCTTCGCGCAGCCCACACCGCACCCCCCCCCCGTTTGACTTATGCAAATGGACCCAAGGGTGCGGGCGCCGCCGAGCTCCCCCACCCTTGCGCTGGCTCGCGGCCCCCACCCGGAGCCTGGGCCCGGACCTGGGGGAGAGAGGAAGAGGGGAGGGCTGGGGAGATGCACGTGGAGCCTGGAGGTGGAAAGTAGTTTTTTTTTCTTTTTTTCTTTTTTTTTTCTTTTCTCTTTTTTTTTTTTTTTTTTTTTTTGTGCTGGTTGTTGTTGTTGTTAAAGTGGCGGAAACAAGGCAGGAGGCGGCTTGGGAAAAAGTGGAGCAGAAATGGAAAAATACAAACTCACCCGCTGCAAATGGTCTCTCGGTGCAAACTAAGGTGTTTTCGGGCCTTTCCCCGCGCGCGCCCACTCCCGCCCGCGCGCGCGCCCCGCGCACACACTCACCCGCGCACACACACTCGCGCACACACGCGCGCACACACGCACTCCCGGGCGAGGGCCGGGCCGCCGCGTACAGCATGCCGCCGCCACACAATAAATAACAATAGATTCCTCCGCTGCGGACTAGCTTCCCGAGCCCCGCCGGCGCCCGCAGAGCGCACCGTGCCGGCCMGGCCCGCCGCCCGCCTGCCCGCGGCCCGCTGCGCCCCGCGAGGCCCCCGAGGCCCCCGGAGCCCCCGGACGAGAGCCGCGCCCGCCCCGGTCCCCGGGCGCTGCGCCCGCCCCCTCCCCCCGCATCCCGGAACAAATAAATAAATAAGGCGCGCGAGAGGCCACCACGTCGCGGAGGGAGATGTTGTTATTTTTTGCTGTTGTGCGTCCCTGACGTCACATCCACCTGCTGGGTAAACAACAGGGCTCGCAGCAAAAAAAAAAAAAAAATCGCAATTGCAAAAGCGGGGGATGGGGGCGCAGGCTGGGGGAGGGGAGGTGTGGGGCGACCCGGCTGGATGGAGAGAAGGGAGAGGCCGAGCCCCAAGACCAGGGAGGAAGGAGGCCAGAGCAGTCCCTGGCAAGAGAAGAATCTGGCAGGAAAGACCTGGAAAATAAGGGGTTGGGGGGCGGGGAGCTCCTCGGAAGATGGGAAAGGGGGACTCCTGCAGACCCCGGAGAGATGCAGAGCCCGAGTGTGAACTCCAGGGACCGAGATGAGAGCGCGATGGCTCTTCGCCGGTCTCGGAGCTGCTAGAACCGAGGGAAGGGGAGAGGCGAGGCGGGGAGGCGAGTTTCCTCTGTTAAAAGTGAAAGTGTTGGCCCTCAGTGACAGCTGAGGCTCGGGGAGGTCGGCGGCGACCTGGGCCCCTCTCTCCTCGCCCGTCCTCCCTCGGTCTCTCCTCTTTCTTTCTGCACTTTGTCCAATGAAAGAAGGCGAGTTCGGGAGGTGAAAGTTCAGCAGAAGGACAAACCCCTGTTTGCAGGGAAACAGAAACCCCGCCAGCGAGGGGTTTTTCCTGGTATCGCGGCATCAGGAGAGAGTGCACGGCGGGGCGAGCTTCCCCCCTTCCCTGTCAGTCACTGCAGGAATGCACGGTCGGGCCCACTGGGGGGAAGTGGCTGCTCCGGGAACTGCGTTCCTGCCACGGCTCCTCGTAGGAAAACACCCGGGGGCTGGCATGTCAATCAGTTGTTTAACACTAACTACCTGCTCGCCCACAGATCAGTCACGTGCAAAAGCTTTCCCAATGGTGCAAAGGTGAGATTTTTTTTTTCTTTTGGCCGTTTTGAAGTTCGCTCGAATTTTAGAAATTTGAAGAAGGAAACGAGGAGCCCGAAGGAAATGTTTTTAAATATATACATCTATTTTTTAAAAAAAAAAAGGATACTAGTATTTCTTAGTATTTCTTTCTCTTTTATCAATATATTATAAATAGAGGAAGAGGCCGAATTTGTTTCCAAAACGTGACTTAGAAAAAATATAGGTCCTCCACTGGCTTGTTGCTATAACAGAAATAWTTTTTTTTCAGATTCATCACCCCGGATGCTGCCAAACTCCCAAGCCAGCACGTGCAGGTTCTAGCTGGATGGTTTACACCAGGCCAGTTCTTCATCAAAATGCCTCAGGAGCCAACCCTCTGAATTCCTGCAAAGTGCTTCCCGCAGGAGAGCGAGACTTGCTGTCCCTTTGGTCTTGACACTAGCACAGTTGTAGATAACAAATATCCTGAAAAGGATATTATAAATTCTTTGGGGTGATGTACTTTTACAAATACGGCTATACGTTCATTGACAGGAGATTCAAATCTCCGTGTCAATGACAGGCTACCACTTACCACTTTTTAAAATTGTATCTGTTTTGCAAGTAAAAAAAAAATAAAATTATAACCAAGCCATTCACTGGTGCTGTAGAATCAGGCACGAGGGGCTGCGCTCAGCTAGTTCCAGCACAGCAGCATCCATGCATGAGGCCCCGGCGCCAGGCTCCAGTCTACCCAGACAAAACCATCCGCCCGATCTTCTAGGCTAGAATCTGGATAGATAAAACGCATTTTAGTGTTGCGTTTCCTAGCTTCCCAGGGCTCCGTGTTCCTGTTGTCTTTGTCAAGACATTAACACATGTCCCCCTGTGTTCTAGACCATAGAGTGGGCTTTTAGAGATGCACAGATAAATGAAACTCCTGCCAGGAGCGCTACAGCCTACAGCTGTCAATCATAACATCTAATATTTATTGAACGCTTTCTATGGCCTAGGCGCTGATCTAAAAGCTTTATGTCAACTCACTTAATACTTTCCGCACCCCTTTGACAGCACTGGAAATTCCACATTCTGAATTCACATGGCATTATTCAAAAAAAAATCTACATAGTAGCCATTCTATTGGGAAATTTTTGTTTTTAATTTCTATGATGTTTCTGCCAAATATAACTTGTTTATGATCTATTGCCTGGTTGTAGAGAGTATCTCAGGGGAATAGCAATTTATTTAGACGTGACACATCTATTAATTGTCGKTGAGGTATCATCCTGATCTTGTTTTTCAGATAAGCCACATGGGTTGTTGTTGCTTTTTTTTTTTTAATCATTATTGCCATACTAAAAAGATTCTTAGATTGCCACTGATCTCAGTCTGCATTTTAACTGCCTTAAATTCTACATTCATTTGCAAGTGGAGGCCAGAGTCAGGTTGGCAACAAGTTTGTAGACAAAAGGAAATCCTGGCTGTAAATCCCATAATATATGGCACTCTGCTTCATAGGGGATGGTCTAATGCGGAGACTTATTAAGGAACAGCTATAGCCCTCCGGGGCTCCCGTTCCAGGGAACTTACTGCAGCTTAACGTCTGGCTCATTGTCGACACCGTCACGTTACATTCGTAAGGAGCAGATTTTAATTTCTTTATCAGTAATCAACTGGAAGTTTCTTTTTGTTAAATTACAGCAAGAARGGTTTTCAAATAAAGGGCATGGGGGTAGGACGCCACCTTTTGGTGATAAAATAAATAGAAATCCTTTTTGGAAACATGTTCCTGACATGATTTTATTTTTAATTACACCCAGGCAATGGTGCTTGTCCCCGTTTCCTCGTATTTTAAGGTACAGGGAAGAAAAAGAACAATATAAATGGACAATTAGCAGATTACTGCTAACTGCAGCCAGGATTTCCCCAGAAGTACCAGAATGTGTCGGTGTCCTACCGCACACCGCCAACTAGACATCACACTGGAGCCTTAATCTCCACGTACTGTGCCACGGAATATGTGCACATTTGGGGAAGAGGACTTGGAGTGGAGACAGTTGCCACCTCCTGAGATGCCTGAAGCTCATGGAAGTTTAGAATTGAGCAGAAATCAGAACAACCTCTTTCAGTGTCTCTTAAAGCAGAGTTAGCACCTTCCCAATTTTTTTGTGCTACCTATATGACGTCATTTCTACATAATCCCCACACTGTACTCACTGGCGGGCAGATGTGGTGTTGGTGTACCATTTCTACTTCGCATCAACCTACTTGGCATTTTTCTTTTACTACTTTCAGTGGGAATAAATAGGTGTCCGCCTCCATAAACAAGCGCAGTGAAACAAAGTTACTGATTTCTCTTTGTGTGAGTTTAGGGAAAGGAAAGTAGAAAGTGCATTAGAAGAGATTGCCCAGGTACTGAAGGTCCTGGAGACTTTTACAGATGCAAACCTCTCTGAAGGTTTTTCTTCTCCCCCTGCACGCCCCCGGCTCTGGAACAAGCAGAAGGATTCAAAGTGATTGAAAAGGATACAGTCCTCAGCATGGGAGAGTCTCCCCTCGATAATGCCAGCCCCGTGCCCAGGCTGCACAGCAGTGTTATCAGATTGCAGGTGAGGCCCTGGGATTTAAACCACTCACCAGAGCCAAACGATTGGTGAGTGACTGGACGAGATGCGGACCCAGGCGTGCTGGCCTGAGGGATTTCCGTCTCACTTTTTCCACATTCGCAGAATGTGACCCATCCTCAGACCTCAGGCAGCATGCCTAGCTCCCCAGGAACAGCCATCCTGTGTATCCCTTTAGAGATGTGGGAGAAACCGAGCCCACGCTCAAGATCAAGTTCAACACCCTTCTCAGCCTCTTCAATGTGGCAGACACCTGAGTGGGCAAACACAGGGCAGAGGGAGGGCTGCAGGGGCGGGTTTGCAAGTGTGGGTGGACCTTTCTCAAAACGAAAGCCAAAACCTTTGATTTCCCTCCKAGAAGGTGAAAAGTAGTCATGAAAATCACGTGTTTTACCCTAAGTGCCAGGAGGAGCCCGTCCTCCCTGTGCCCATGCCCCTGTCTGTCCAGGCTGGAGGTCAGCAGGGGGTCTGCTGTTTTACCATATATGATACCAACAGGCACTGAGACCCAATCACATTTGCTAACTGTGTGGCTGGAAAAGTTAGCCAGGGGGGGCTTGATCGACCCCAGCTTTGCAAGTATTTTCCTTAAAAACAAACTTCATGGGCTCAGATTTAAATCTGGAGATGTAGGGTCCTTTGTGATATCCTAACCAGACAGGGGCTTTAGCTACCAAGACCGCATTTCCTGCCTTGTTTTATTTTGTTCCTTTAAAGGATGCAGTTGTATACACAGAAGTAAATATGGCCTGCCAACAGCTTTACGTTGTTCTAAATTGGTCCTTGTGACAAGAGGTTGCCAAGAACTCTACTGTACAGCAGTTGGCCCCAGGGGACCAGATGGATTGGAGTCCCTCTGCATGACAATGCACAAGAAAGGACTTGGCCAGTTACCTTCATGCCAAAGAGCTGTCCCTGTGCCCTGAGCCCTGAGCACCCCATGCAAAATGTTGGTACCTCAAAGACWTGTGAAGGGAGTATGGGAGGTGCAACCGGCGACCAGTGCTAGATCCCTCTTGCCCGTAGCCTTGTTGTGCAAAGTATGATGTGCTCGCTTGTCACACACCTGGGGGCATCTTAAAATGCAGAATCTCGGCCCCACCCAAGGCCTACTGAATCAAAATCTGCATTTTTTGCAACAGCATCCGCTGAGCCTCCCCCAGGCTGAGATGAAGTGCTATGACCAGCCATATCTGGGTCCTCTTTACAGCTTGGCACTATTTGACAGAAGTTCCCATGAGCCGTCTGTCATACCTGATTCTCCAAACGGGCATCTTTTATAAACATGGGTTAGTTTCTTCTTTTTTATCCACTTACAAAGTTAAGCCATTAAATCACCCATGTAAAGCATGATTAATTCCTTTGACATTAATAACAGGGTGACTTCTCTCTCCTGTTACCCCAAAGAGACTGCTAATTGCACTGCGATTGTTTACCTTTGTATTGTTTTATGAGAACTTGGGGAAAGATGGAAGATCTTCCCCACCAGGCCGGGAGCAAACGCCAGACAGGTTTTGGAAAGCCTGAGCACATGCTATGACTACACCTTGTTAGTAGAAGGGCTTTGCTTTCTTTGTTTTGTTTTCTTTTTTTATGGAAGGAATGACGCCTCCATAATTATAGGTGTTGCTGTTTAAATCTCAGCATGTTTTCCAAACCGTGGAGGGGCCACACCTCCAGCAGCAGCCCGTGAGCCATCCCGGTTGGACTCTCCCTCCAGCTCGCTGAACACTTTATAACGACCCATCAGAGGGCGCCGGGATTTCCATGGGCTAGAGGGACAGCAAGGGGTCCTGGTCCGAGTAGGGCTGCTTCCTGCCTGGACATGAAGGACCCTCAGGTACTCGGCAGCCCTGATGAGATTCTCAGAGAGAGACGACAGTTGGTTCGTTTCCCTCACGAGACAACAGGTTCCTTTTGTAACCCCCCCAAAAATAATTAAAACCATTGTTTTAATACTAGTCCTAAGGCGGTGTAATTAAGTCTCCGAGTGAGTAATTGTGTACCTGAATTCAAAATAAGATTTCACATGTAAAGCAAAGTTCTGATGGTAATCTCTGAGAAGTGTCTTGGCTTAGGTTTAGCCTGCACAAGTGCCAGCTCAGCATTACAATAGGCATTGTTAGGTAGGCCTGGCGGACAAGACCCGTTTGTCTGAGAGGGGAGATGAGGCAGGCCGACCCACCTGCAGGAACAGGGAAGCTGGGTGCTCCTCCCTGTGGGAGGCTTTGKGGGGACTGCGCAGGGTGAGGCACCAGCACTTTCGTGGATGAGAACATCCTCACGTAGGTTTTTAAACAAGAATATCTAAAAAATAGCTCTCAAGAGGAACTTCCCTATCCCCACACCCAGGGTTCTTGAGTTATCATTTTAAATTTAAAAAAAACCCAACTATATAAAGATTTAAAATTCAATTTGTCTGAAGACTATAGGAATCCTGTGGTTCTGGAATGGAGAGTGAGGTGTCCCCTGTGGACAGATTTTTAACACATGTGCAGTCACAAGATAAACAGGTACAGAAACAAATCGACCTGTGTGCCTACGTGGGTTGGTATGCAAACGGGTTTCTCAGTTTGGTGCACCAAGAGGCTAGAAGCCGGGAGCCCCCGGTCGCAGTGAGCACCCAGAGGCCGCAGATCTTGGCTTCTAGATACCTTTCTCCGATAAAAGAAATCAGGGCTCCTTGGAGAACCAGTTAGTTCCAGGGGTGGGAGATGGATGCTGGAGCGTCTTGTGGTGATGAAAGTTACTGGAGAAATCCTAGGACAGGGGTGGGCTTAGGAGAGGCCCAGGATCCAGCTACAAAGAGCTCTTCAATCCCAAAGATGAGACCTTAAGGAAGAAGAGGAATACTGGTAACAGTGCTATCTAGTATATAAGAAGTGACACCTCTTCCTTGCATGAGATGGCTGGAGCCCAGCAATCCATGTTTTAAAGCAAGTTTTAGCAAATCATATCGATACCGTGACCTAAGGAATTCAATCACTCCATCAGGTGGCTGAGATTATGGATGTCTGAGTATCATGTAGTCAGGAGCACCAAGCACACAAGCCCCACGGACAAGGGGCAGATGGTGACTGGCGTCACCAAGAAAGCAAGGCCAAGACTGGGAGAGCTTCAAAGTTTTCAAGGTAGGTGAGAAGTGCAGATTGGGGGCGGGGGGGGGCGTGTATGGGGGGGTATGTATTGGGGGAAACAGGGATTGAACTCAGGGGCTCTCTAACACTGAGCCACATCCCCAGCTCTATTTTGTGTTTTATTTAGAGACAGGGTCTTATTGAGTTACTTAGCACCTTG